GATATCAAAAAAGTACTCCAGAGTGTTGTTCAGCATGGGGGTGAGTAGAAAATGAAGGCTAATCATGTTTTGGGTGTACTATTCCTTTAACAGAACCAACATCGTGACAATAATAGCCTTGAATGAAGAGTCATGCTGCACCTGATGGGGGTACATAGGAAATTGAAGAGTTGTGGTCAAAGTATTGTCAATACAATCAAATCTTTGAGCCTTCTTAGGAGAGTCACATCAGTGACTCTCAAAGATTAGAGAAACAGTAGAAGAAATCAAATGCCTTTGTCCTCCTACTTTGGCGATCTATAAAATGATAGATTAACTTGACTTTTTTCTTCATTTCCAGTGTTTTTACCTCCCCAAATGTCAAATGGACCGAAAGGCCCTTCAAGAGGAAGTGCAGAAAGTAAAAAAGTGGGTGGACAATAAGCTGCAGAACGACTCGCTGTGTTTCATGGACCAAAAGGGCCAGCCCAACCATGCCATCTTGAATAGGAAGTACACCCTGCAGAGGGCGCTGTTTGGACTCCTTTGGCCCAGTCTGATGCTTGGTGGTGGATCTCTGCTGGTGGGACTTGTGAAGCTGACTCAGTGCCTGGCCCGCCTGTCCACGGACATGAACCGTTATTCAGCAGGAGGACATTGGACTTCTAGAAACACTCAGGGTAAAATCTACAGACTTATTCAGAGCTCAAGCCTGCAATCTCCTTCATGACTTATTAAACCCTGCAGCGAGACTAACACCACTTGGAATTCCTTCATGAGCTAAATCATGACACATCACCATTGATATGTCTAAATATTCACATTTTTTTGTTTGAAGAGCTGTATATTTCCTTACAGCGCTATCTCGTAAGGTCATTCTCATCTCTACTTAGCCTGAGCCAATGGTGATAAATAAAAGGAAGATAAAAGTGCAGATCCCTTTTTGTTTAAAGTCGTAGGGAAATCATATTTAAATGTCAAATCATTCTGGCTTGAACATGTATATAAATGTACTCTTTATCAGAC